AGAGGAGAGAGCGGGGGGGGGGGAGAAAGTGAGAAAGCAAGCCACCAGGTCCGGGACTCGAATTGCGGTCCGCCATGTGGGAATGTCCAGTGCCTTAACCACCACACCACCTGCTGGTCCCTGGGAGAACGCCTTTTAAAAAATATTTTTAACAGCTCTATTGAAATATAATTTACATGTCATACAGTGCATCCATTTAAAGTTTACAGATGAGTGACTTTTAGTGTATTTACAAATTGTTCACTGCAATTGATTTTTTTTTTTTTTTTTTGGAGAGATTTTCACTGTAGGGCGCGTGTGCTCGCCAGACAGACAGAGAGAGACATAGAGACAGAAAGCGAGAAATCACCCCCCAGGGGGGATGGTCATGCCGCAATCCCTTCTCCTCCATTCTCCTCTTGGGATCTTGGGCACGCACGCACATGCGCCCGGCATGAGTTTTAAGCCACTGGGTCCAGGACGCGAACCGCGGTCGACTACGTGGGAGTCCAGCGACATAGCCATTACGCTAACTGCTGGTTCCCTGCAATTGATTTTCATCACCTCAGAAAGAAACTTGTATCCTGACTGTCACCTTCCTGTTCTCCCATTTTCACCAGCCCTGGTATATTCCGTCTCTGGATTTGCTTATTCTGGACATTTCATATAAATGCAATCATATAATGTAGTATTTTCTGATTTGTTTCTTTCGCTTAACATAATGTTTACACGGTTTATGTTATAGTATAAGTCAGCACTTCATCCTTCTTTTGATCAGTAGTATTCCGTTGTATTGATATATTTCATTTTGTTTGTCCATCAGTAGACATTTGGGATTCCTCCCTTTGGATGTTATGAATAGTATTGGTATAAATATTCAAGTTTCTGCATAAACATATATTTTATTTCTCTCAGGTGTATGCCTAAGAGTAGAATTCTTGGGTTATAGGGCATCTCTGGGTTTATCTGTTTGTGGAACTACCAGATTATTTTCCTAAGTGCCTGCACCATTTCCCATTCCTGATGACAGTATGTGAGCATTCCGATTTCTTCACATTCTCACCAACACTTGTTATCATTTGAATTGTTAATTCTAGTTACCCTAGTTGATGCAAAGTGGAATTTTGCTGTAGTTTTGATTTGCATTTCTGTATTAGCCCGCCAGGTTGTCTTTATGAAACACCATAGGCTGAGTGACTCAAACAGTAGAACTTTATTTTTCACAGTTCCAGAGGCTAGATGTACAAGATCAAGGGGCCAATAGGGTTGGTTTCTGGTAAGGTCTCTCTTCTTGGCTTGTTGATAGGCACCTCCATCCTGTGTGCTCACAAGGCCTGTCCCCTGGGTATATGTAGTAGGAGAGAGGGAGAGAGCATACTCTGGGGTTTCTTTCTGTTTATAAGGACACTGTTCTTATAAGTCTCCTAAGTTTAATGCCTTGCCCTTATTCCCATATTTAAACTTAATTACATTGTTAAAGACCTTGTTTTCAAAAAAGCACTGGAGATCAGAGCTTCAGCATATGAATTTGGGGGAACACATTTCAGTCCAAAATAATATCCCTGATTGCTGTGATTGCTAATAATGTCTAGCAACGTTTTCCTTTTACATGGCTATTAGTCTTTATACTAATAAATAATTTCAGCAATCTTAAAAAGTTAATTTTCTTTTTTTGATTTTTAAAATGTAATATTTTATTATTAATATAAGCATTTGATGCCAAAGAAATGAAGTTTTATAAAGTTTTATAAACTTATCATTGTTAAGTACATTAATTTCCATTTCATTGTACGGTTTTCTGTCAAGCTGGGTAAGATTCATTTCTCTACAATTCCTCCAGTACAGCTCCTTTGGAATTACTTCAGCCATCCCTAACATGTGACTTTATCAAAGACTTCGAAGCTAAACAAATGACTAACTTTTAGATAATAGTCCTTGTATAACAGTCAGGGGTTAATCTCCAACAAATGTTTCTTTGTTGTAACAGTTATAAATCAGAGCCTTCAAAAAAAAAAAAAAGGGCAGAGAAAGAATCTTCTGCAGCTTAAGTCTCCCAGACAGATACATGGCAAAATGTCTTTCCTGCAAAATAAATGGGTCTCCAGTATTCCCCTCTACTTGGGCTGTCAAAGATAGATGCCCCAAGCCTGTCACTGACATATACACCATCCTGGCTCTGGTTGAATTAATTATGCCAGAAGAGTTTAATACCCATCCAAGTCCAAAGGAGGAAGAACACATACACGGGGATGGTGACTGGCAGGAACAGGCTGTAGGAGCAGAGGCTGGCTGTGCTCGCAGCCCTGCGGCAAGTTTTCTTCCCCCAGGCCGAGTAGAACAGCCCTGCTAAAGAGACCAGTGGCCCTGCTAAAGAGACCAGTGGAATAAGAACAGTCAGCGTAGGGAGAGACAGAAACATCCTTCTCCTCCACTAATTACTCACCACCCTGTACTGAAAGGTACTTGATATTCAGGAAATTGAGCTGTTGTTGTGTGTGTAATTATGAGCTAGTGCTGCTCTGTTTCTTCTTATTTTGACGTGTTGTCCTGGCTGCCTGTGGTATCAGGTTGGGAATCCCGTGGATGGTTAGATAGGCTATTCCCAGCTCTTGATTAATCAATTCATTTGTTGTTGCTTCATATCGGAGCGGCTTCTTGGAGAGCAGGCACACCAGGAACTCAAGCAGCACGGGGTCTAAGGTGCGGGGCGACTTCTCTGTCCTCTCGCTCGGGCGCTCGCCCCCAATACGTGCTGGCGCCTGCAGACTACGTGTGTCCCCCTGCGGTGAGGCAAGCTGGCCGCAGGCTCTGCTGGGCATGGTCGGGCAGTGGGGACCATGCCTGTCCGCGCCCGTGGGGCCACGCTCCCCGCTCAAAAAAGTTACTCAATACGGTTCCTTGAAAAGAGTAAAACCCTCTTATTAAAAGTATGCCATAGTTACTAAAAGTTTTTTTCATGAAGCTGTATAAACAAACAGCAAAAGATAAAGATGAACATAATTTAAATATAACTTCCACTCACTAAATGTATAAATGATTGGATTAAATATTGGTTGACTAAAGATATCCTTAAATAAGTAACTTAGATTATAATAAAAGAGTGGTAAAGATGTTAAGTCAATAAAAATAATGATAAAAGAAGCAACTCTAACTTAAGAACTTGGGTTTAAGAAAATCTTTGAGCATATGAATGACTGTGCCGAATTATATCAATGTTCATAAAATACAGAATAGTAAATGTAATTTCATATTAGATATATTTGGATATAGATAAATTAGTGAACTGTAATAGGTAGTCTCATTTATGTTCATAAGTTAAGCATTAATCATAACAAAAATGAGGCAGGAAAATTTTAAAGTAAAATTAGAAATTAATGAACTAGAAAACAGAAGTAGTATGTTTCTTTGGATAAAAATGATAAAATGAAAGAAAATATTAATAGCTAACTCTAATAAATACAAAAGAGAGTAAGCATTACATAATAGATTCAAATGGTGATATATTTGTAAATATTTAATGTAATGCTAAATAGAATCCTATTTTGTCCCTTCTGTTCCTCAGGTTCCAAAGCACCTGAGTCTGGGTAATTTATAAGAGTAAAGTGTATTCAGCTCCTGGTGTGGAGGTCCCAGGCCAGGGCCATATCTGCTGAGGGCCTTCTGGCTGTATCAGGACATGGTGGGGGCAATAGTACATGAATCTGTGTCACTGCTCTAGACTCTTCTTGTCCCCTCTCCTGATAAACCCACCAGGAGTCAGTCAGGGGGTCTTGCCGTAATGGCCTTAAACCTACCCTCCTCCCAGTAGCCCTGCTTTTCAACACTATAATTGGATTGAGTTTTCACCCTCTTAATTCTGTCACAGGCAAATCTCAACATGTGAATTTTGAGGAGACTTTCAAACCATACAAAATCTGATTCATAAGACTGACAGTGACCAGCAGATGGTGTAATGGTTACATCACTGGACTCTATCATATAGTTGACCATGGTTCAATGCCTGGACCCAGCAACTTGAAACTCATGCTGGGCACATGTGCATGTGTTCCCAAAATCCTGAGGGGAGAATGGAGAAGGGATTGGCCATCCCCCTGGGGGGGGGTGATTTCTCGCTTTCTGTCTCTGGAGTGCATATTGCCTACAGCAGAAATCTCTCTCAAAAAACTAAGATGACTGACACAGGAGGACTTGCTCTTCTAGACATAGTGGCTTTCTGTATAGCTCTGAGTAGTTAGGTAGTATGGACTGGGGATGGGATAGTTTAATAAATTACTATTATGGAATACAAAGCGCAAGAAAAAACATGCATTCTATAGAGCAGTGGGAAATGATCTTGAGGTATCCATATAGATTAGAAGAAAAATCGGATTTACATGACTTAAAGACCTGATTATTAAAGCAAAACAGGACAGGACCAGCAGTTAGCGTAATGGCTATGTCACTGGTCTCCCACATAGTCGACCGCGGTTCGCGTCCCCGCCCCAGTGGCTTAAAACTCTTGCCGGGCTCATGTGCGTGCTTGCCCAAGATCCTGGGAGGAAAATAGAGGAGAAGGGATTGTGGCGTGGTCGTCCCTCCTGGGGGGTGATTTCTCGCTTTCTGTCTCTCTGGCGAGTGCATGTGCCCTATAGCAAAAACCTCTCCAAAAAGAAAAAAAAAAAAAAAGCAAAACAGGAAACCTGGGAGATGATATAGTAATATAGTTTCATGATTTTCCTAAGGGAAGAAGTGAGTAAGATATAGAAGATAATAACCAGAGGAAAGGAGTAAATAAATACATTCTTTCCTACTCTACCCACTAAGTATAACTAAGTGTGTATGTAAAAAATACATATATACGCAAAACAAATATAGGATTCTGAAAGGTGCAAAAAAGAACGATGATAAACAAGGGGCCTTTTCACTCAAGGAAATTCAAGGTGATTAATGCTAGCAGTGGCCTTGTGGAAAACCTTGTCTCCCACTCATGCCCAATGTTAATCTGAAGGCCTTCTCCTCCATCCCAGGGTGTCAGAAGAAATTAGTGGGGAACTTGGCAGTAGTGATATATACCTCAATACTCTTCTTGGTCTGGTTTCAGAGGAGGATATGTGTATACATTATGGGATGATCAAATAAGATTAATTAGCATATTCATCACCTCAAATATTTATCCTTGCTTTGTATTGAGAATATTTAGATTTTTAGCTATTTTTTTAAAGAATTACTTATTTTAATTTTATTTGTTATTACTATTTTTTTTTTTTAATTGACCAGAAAGAAAGAGAAAGGAAAAGTGGAAAAAGCAAGCCACTAGGTCTGGGACTTGAACCATGGTCGTCCATGTGGGAGTTCAGTACCTTAACCGCTGTGCCACCTGAGAGCTCCTCTTTTAGCTATTTCGAAATATATTTTTTATCACCTTGCTCTGTCGTAGAATATAGATGGAACTATTCTTTTTGTCTAATTATAACTGTACTAATCGACCATCATCTTTCTTCCCTTTTCCCTCCTGTGTCCTGCCTTTGGTAACCACCGTTCTTCTCACTACTTCTATGAGTTTAACTTTTTGATTTCACATGTGTTTCAGACCATTTTCTATAGCTTAATATTGGGTTGTCAGAAAAGTCATGATGAATTTTACATAGAAAAATATATTCTGACTTTTCCGACAACCCAATAATTGAAATTACATACCAGATAATTTATAAAGAATAAAAGTTTGATCTGCTGATGGTTTTGGAGGCTCAAGGTCAAGGGACCCATAAGGGCCTTCTTGTTGGTTAAGCGTCACTTTAGAGTCCTGAGATGTGGTGTAAGGTATCATATGACAGGAAGAGGAGAGCTTGCTTTTGTGTCTGGGTTCCTTTCTGTGTGTCTTTCTCCCTTTTATTAAAGCACCAGAATTTGATCATGAGGGTCTCACCCTGAGGACTGTATCGAATCTTAATCACTTTCCAGAGGCTTAGCATTTTGACACCATATTTAGAGTAGGTTTCTACCCTCTTAATACCTTCACAATTCAACCATATTTTGATACAGAAATTTTTGAGGGGCACCTTCCAACCATAGCAACATAATTGAGATCAGATGGTATTTGTCTACTTAGATTGATACATGTTAGTATAAATGACAGAATTTTCAAGTGTTTTTTTAAGGCTACGTAGTAGTCCGTTGTGTATATGTGTGCGTGTATGTGTGTGTGTTTGAGTGTGTGTGTGTATATACTACTTTTAAAAAATCCCATTTATGTATTGAGGGGCACTTAGGTTGTTTCTCTGTCTTGGCTACTATGAATAACACTTTAATGTATATGGGAGTGTAGATATCTCTGGCATATTGATTTCAATACTTTGGGTATATACCCAAAGTAGTAGGATTGCTGGGTGGTTCATATGATAATTCTGTCTTGATATTTTGAGGAACCTCCATCCTGTCTTTTAGGATGCCTATCCTAATTTACTACCAAAAGTGTGTAAGGAGTCCCTTTTCTCCATACCATCACTAATATTTATCTTTATCTCTTTGATAATAGCCAGTCAGTATCCCATTTTGATCATTGTTTTAATTCATGTTTCTCTTTTGATTAGAGATGAAGGTTTTTCTATACATGGGGAGGGGTCTTCAAAAAGTTCATTAGAAGAAAGTGTGTTATGAGAAAACTCTGCATGGATTTTAGTGTTTTTTGTTGTTGTTGTTTTGCACCAAAATCAACTCATACTTTAATTCTATTTTTCTATAAACTTTTTGGAGTCCTATATACCAGTTGTCTATTTGCATGTCTTGAGAGAGGTCTATTTATGTTTTTTGGCCATTTTGTTGCTGTTGTTGTTTATTGGTTTTTGCCATAGGGTGTGTGTGCTCACCAGGGAGAGAGAGAGAGAGAGAGAGACAGAGAGTAAGAAATCACTACCCAGGGGAGATGGCCATGCCCGAATCCCTTCTCCTCCATTTTGCCATTTGTAAATAGAGTTTTTTTATTTTGTTTTGTTGTTAAGTAGTTTGAGTTCCTTGCCTGCTGTATGATTTTAAAATATTTTCTTTTAGTTTTTTTTTTTTTTTCCTTTCATTCATGTAGAGCATGTCTACATACAAGTGAGAGCAGGAGATGAAGTGAGAGAGAGAGGGAGAGAGGGAGAAAGAGAAAGAGGAGCACTCTTCACAGGATCTGGTATTGCCAATCTCCTTCCTCCAGCTCTCCAGCTAGTCAAATCCTGGGTACTCAAGCACATTCCCTGTGCATTTCAGATAGAATGGACAATCAAACTGCAGTCACCTTGTGAGATCTAGTTTCTCTTGCACAGCATATTAATGTCTCGTCTCCCAATTTGTGGATTGTCTCTTCACATTTACTTGTCTCCTTTGCCGTGCAGAACCTTTTTAGTTTGCTGTTACCCATTTGCTTATTTTTGCTTCTACTTTCTGTGCTCTTGGAGTCATAT